AACGCATTCAGTCTTAGTTCCACAAGGTTGTCTGGAAACAGCGAGGAACCAGGAGAACGTTGATCAGCAGCCTTGAGGAAGTGGGGCTGGGCTTGGTGCTGCGGGTGCTCAAGGGCCAGGTTGGGCATTTGACCTCTGCTGCCCAGGCTCCGGGCAGCCCACACCACCATCCAGCCCCCATGCATGGCCTGAGAGAAACGAGTGGATCATGCCTTGGCACTTGCCCTGGTCCCATCCCCTTCTGCCAGAGACCCTCAGATCTGTCCCACTCCTGCCCAGGCCCCCATAGGCACCCTTGACACGAACGATGTAGAGCTGGCCACGCCCACCCAGTAGGCCACACCCACTCTATCATGCCCACCCAGTAGGCCACACCCACCCTGGCCACACCCATCCGGCCCCCTGAGGGCAACCGGAATGCTGATGCGGCCCTCAATGAAATTGAGTTTGACACCCCTGATCTAGATGACTGAAAGCTAAAATTAAGGAGGAAATGATTGTGGCTTTTGATGCAACTACTGTTTCCTTGCTTTTAATATGGGTTAACTTTTGAAAGTAACAGTCACTCTGACTTATTACCAAACTGGGAATCTCAATATGTACATGTGACTTGGAACCCCTCTTTAGTTTATAAATGGGAAAATATATATTTCCAAAATGTTACTGGAAAGAAAAAAAATTCTAAGTAGGATTTACTATATCATGTCTTTCATTATTACATAATGTTTATAAAAAGCAAAGAATGTCATGAAGCAACTGGGAATGTCTGTTATAATTCTTCAGCAATAAATGCTACATTATATTAATGTTATTTAGACTGAGCAAAAATTGTGGGGTAATACATTAGTCTATCCACATTAGACAAAGAAAAGGTTAAAATGTTTAGGAATCGCAATATATATACTGGCAGATCATACCAGTACTGCCAAAGCTCTCATTAAAACAACAACAATAGCAGCATCAACAACATAGCTCAAAACTCAGTTGGACTTGGGAGGCCAATATGCACAATTTTGTAATGCTAGAATAGAATAGAATAGAATAGAATAGAATAGAATAGAACCATTTCAGACAAATGGTTGTCCAATCTCTTCTTAAAAACTTCCAGGGTTGGAGCATTCACAACTTCTGAAGGCAATTGATTAATTGTTCTAACTGTCAGGAAATTTCTTTTTAGTTCTATGTTGCTTTTCTCCTTGATTACTTTCCATCCATTGTTTGTTGTCCTGCCTTCAGGTGTTTTGGAGAATAGCTTGATTCCCTCTTCTTTGTGGCAGCCCCTGAGATATTGGAACACTGCTATAAGGTCACTCCTTATCCTTCTTTTCATTAAACTAGACATACTCAATTCCAGCAACCATTCTTTATATGTTTTAACCTCCAGTCCCCTGATCATTTTTGTTGCTCTTCTCTGAACTCTTTCTAGAGCCTCAACATCTTTTTTACATCATGATGACTAAAACTCGATACAGTATTCCAAGTATAGCCTTACCAAGGCATTATCAAGTGGTATTAACACTTCACATGATCTTGATTCTATCCCTCTGTTAATGGAGCCTAGAACTGTGTTGGCTTTTTTGGCAGCTGCAGCACACTGCTGGCTCATATTTAAGTAATTGTCCACTTGGACTCCGAGATCCCTCCCACAGTTACTACTATTGAATGAGATACCACCTATATCAGGGGTGTCAAACTGCCGGCCCGTGGGCAGGACATGTCACATGGAAGCCACGCCCACCTCATTGCCAGCAATGGCAAAACCGGCCTGACGTGTTGCGCGACGTCACGTGACATCATGAGTTTGACATGCCTGTACCTGTGCATTTGGGTTTTCTTGCCTAAATGTAAAACCTTACTTTTTTCATCACTTTTTTCATCATTTTGTTAGATAGTGCCTAATGTTCAAGTGTGTCAAGATTCTCCTGTATCTTAAGCCTATATTCTGGAGTGTTGGCTATTTTCCCAGCTTGGTGTCATCTGCAAATTTGATGAGTTTCCCATCTATCCCCTCTTCCAAATCATTGATGAAGATGTTGAAGAGTACTGGGCCTAAAACAGAGCCTTGGAGTACCCCATTGCATACTTCCCTCCAAGTAGATGCAGTTCCATTGAGGACTACACATTGAGTGCAATTGGTCAGCCAATTACGAATCCATCTGGTGGTGATGCTGTCTAACCCACATTTTTCTATCTTATCTAGTAGTAGGTTTTGGTCTACTTTATCAAATGCCTTACCGAAGTCCAAGTAAATGATATCCACAGTGTTCCTCTGGTCCACTAATTTTGTCACCTTGTCAAAGAATGCGATAAGATTTGTCTAGCATGATTTGTTTTGACAAACCTATGTTGGCTTTTAGTTATGACTTTGTTTGCCTCTAGGTGTTTGCTGATTCATTGCTTGATTATCTTTTCCAGAATCTTCCCAGGTATTGAGGCCAGGTTGATAGGTCTGTAGTTTCCTGGATCTCCTTTTTTTTCCTTTTTTGAAGATGGGAACTACATCAACCCTTTTCCAGTCCTCTGGTAGTTCCCCGGTGCTCCAGGATCTTTGAAAGATATAGTTCAGTGGTTCTGAGATCACGTCTGCCAGTTCTTTCAGAACCTTGGGGTGTAATCCATCTGGTCCTGGTGATTTGAACTCGTCTAGGGTGGACAGGTGCTTACTTACCATTTTCTTGCCTATTTTAACTTGTGTTTCTGATCTGTTTTGTATGGTACTGTTTTTGATAGGTTGCACTGTTTTTTTCCTTTGTGTAAAGACGGAGGCAAAAAATGAGTTAAGTAGTTCTGCTTTCTCCCTGTTGCCTGTCACCTTCTTGCCACTTTCTCCTACTAATGAATCAATCGTTTCCTTGAGTTTTTTCTTGTTTTTTATATGTTGAAAGAAGCTTTTTTTGTTATTTTTTACTTCTTTCGCAAGCCTTAGTTCACTTTGAGCCTTAGCTTTCCTCATTTCATCTTTGCAGATTTGGGCTATTTGCTGATATTCTGCCTTAGTTATGTTCCTCTCTTTCCACTTTTTATACTTGTCCTTTTTGTCTTTCAATTTCAAAAAAGAATCCTTTATGCAGCTATGCAGCTGTTATTTTTCTGTTATTGTGCTAGACTGGGCTTTTATGCTAACTGAGAACTCCAGGAAGAAATAGTAGGAACTCTATTACAAAAGCAACTTAGTTAAGATTGCAAGATTCCCAAAATTCTGCAGTGGTCTCACTGACATTTTCATTTTTCAGGAAGTTGAAGAAGAGACAAAGAAAATAGTCCTTCTAGATTCGATCCAACCAACAGGGAAGGGCAGATTGAACAAGTGAAAGTGGCAGGATAAACTGACCACATCATTTTGATGTTCAAGATACTATAGAAAGTGCAGTAGAGTTGTATAGGCATAACAGAATCAAGGAGAGCAATTTTCAATCAATTTAATGATGTTCTAGATGGGATCTCATATAACATGGCTTAAAGCAGTGATTCTCAACTTGTGGTTTGTGGACCACTGGGAGGGCTGCAATGTCATCACAGGGGGTCCGGGAAAGCTTAAAGAAATGTTATGATTTAAATCTTGAATTGAGTCTTGAGGGTCCATGACCCTGTTCCATGATCACAAAAGGTATTTAAAGGGAGTCGATGGTGAAGAAAAGGTTGAGGATTACTGACTTAAAGCATTACTTTTTTTAAAAAATGTAGAAACTACTGCTTATCAGAAAAAAAACAATATTGAAGCAATATAAGCTTTAGACTCCCTGCTCTTCTGATGATATATGTTAGAAAATGTAATTCAAATTAAGTAGAGAGAAGTGATAATAAGCAAACAATTATTTATCTCATATTAGTCATTCCGAATAATTTATGATTGATTTAAAGCAGCTGCAATCTTGCACTTTTGGGAAGAATATTCTCCTGTATAGTCCATTTTGGCTCTTAAATTACTAAACACTACTGGACATATCTTGAGTACCTATTTTGGCTTTGTCCAGCAGGGTTTCAGTACCTTTCATAGTTCCTCCTTTAAAGAAGATGTATGAAGTGTGTTTGTAATTTTTAGTATAGAACATAGAAATATGTTGTAAATAGTATAAACATTTTAAAAATATTTTCAGTAGTACTGAAACTGCAATTTGTCACATAGATTTCAATCTATGCTAAATCCTATCATTCTAGACTCTCAGTACCTTTAAATATAAAATGATAGTTGCTGCAAATGATTTAACAAATGATGGTCCATTTTGAAAAAAATAGAAGCTATTGAATATGTATATGTAAAAATGTATAACCTGTTCTTTCAGTGTTCATACCTCAGACAGTTGGTTTTCACCCTCTGTTTTCTTTTCTTTTTTTATAACGTTCTCCTTTGGTCTGAAAAGATTAGCAAGATATTTGACCAATTACTCTTGGTTACTAACTTTGTTGCATAGTATATGTAGCATAAGGAATGGGGAGACAATTCCACTTTTTTTAAAGAAGGCTTCCAAAAAAAATGATACAAAAAGCCCATACAACTATAGGCACAAGGCTAATATTTCCATAAAGGTCTGTTTCACTTTCTGGTTTGTAGACAACACTGTACTAGTAATCATTAAAGAAACTGAATGTACAAGTAGTCCTTGACTCACAACCTTTCATTTAATGACCATTCAATATTACAATGGCACTGAAAAAAGTGACTAGTGACCAGTTTTCATACTTATGACCTTGCAATAACTCCATGATTATGTGATCAAAATTTGGGCACTTGGCAGCTGGCATGTATTATCCTGGGGACATGTCATTACCATCTGTAATCTTCCTAGTTGGCTTCCGACAAACAGTCAATGGGGAAAGCCAGATTTGCTTAATGACTGCATGATTCACTTAACAACTTCTGTGATTCATTTAATATATGTGGCAAAAAGGTTATAAAATGGGGCACAACTCACTTAACAACTGTCTTGCTTAGCAATGGAAACTTTTGGCTCAATTGTGGCCCTAATTCAAGGACTACCTATATTCCACAATATCTCACAACAACAGCAGCAGTCCAAACACCATTGATGTCATTCTGGTTTTAGTACCTCTTAGAAAGCTAACAAAATGTAGGCCGGTCTCATTTCTAGAGAGAGATTCTTCCATATTATAGGATATATTGTCTGCAATTCTAGCAACCACCAGAACTGAATCACTGATATTTGGAATTTCCAACAGTTTGTCAGTTATCTTTTCAAAAGGTCTAATAGCAGACCTGTGGCTATGATCTTGATGGGAAAAAAAACAAGAGAGGTTTTAACCCTTTGCTGTGGGCCTGACCCAGATATAATGTCTTTCCCGCCTGTAATTTGCATTTTTAAACTGTGATATCACATTTAGGTTGACCTTAACTTGCACATATCAAGGTAACAAAACCCCTTTTTGCCCCCGGCATCATCAATTGGGACACTTCATAAGTAATTTACTGTATTTGTGGCTTTTTTTAATGTTGTGGTTAATAAATTGTCAGGAAGTGGAAAGTGCAAGACCTGATGATGTCATTTTAACTCATCTCTACTGTCTGAGCACAGTAGTAATGGATATGCACACAAACATATATATAAGAGTACCTTCATCTGTTTTAAATTACATCCCAAAAGTTCAAGTAAGTACCAATGTATACGCCTTACATGTTTTATAGATATGACTAGACTAGTACTGTTCATTTTATGTATCTTTTTGGGATAATCCTAATTTTCTGTGTCTATTAAAAAGTCCAAGGCTGTAGCTGACACTTTCCAGGGCTGATTGCCATTCTTTTGGAACTATGGATCCATGGAAGAATTGGATAAGATACACTCTTCTGTGGGTATTCTGCTGTTATTACTTCCTCCTCCTCACTGTTTCAAGTCCTTTGCCCTTGAAGCAAACAGGCACTCTAAATAATAACTCCTGCAGCCTCAGCCAACACCACTTCCAGAGAATCACCATCAAGAACCTAACCTATAGCGTGGCCAAACAGGTAAAACCAGAGGGCTTTGCTCAGTGCCAGAGTATTGGCTGTTGGACTTTTCTATTGTGTATTTTCTAGTTTGCATCCATTTTTTCTGCCATTTTTTTCTTTCTGAAAAGAGACTATTTTGTGATAGCTGGATATGTCCTGGTGAGTTAGGGTTTTCCAAATTGCATTTATAGTATGTATAATTTGGAAAAGCCATAACTCAGTAGAACATATCCAGAAATCTCTGCTGGGCAATCTGGTAGCAGCTTGGTACATGTCTATTTCCTTATTGGCTTTCTGTATATTGTCAGCCATATAATTTTATTTCCTGTTATGTTCTGTCTATAAACCTTGCAAATTTCAGATTTGTTAAATATTTACAATATATTGTGAGTTCCATGTCAGAATTCACCAGCAAATTCCTCAGATTTCCTATTTTGGTGGGTTTTACTCTTTTTGACAGGTTTTCATATTGGTTTGTATGATTTTGGCTTAGCACAATTTGTGATTCTGCCATGGTTTGTCAGTAATGGCATATTGCTTACCAAGTTATGCAGAAATCAGCTGTATATATTTTTTAAAAAATTCAAAATGCAGTGTAAGAATCTATGGCTAGCTCAAATAAAAATGTGTTTTTTTATTTCTACCTTTTTCTTGGTTTCTACAATTCCCTGGTGAAATTAGAAAGCTATTGCAGTTCCAGTAAATTGGTAGCTAGAAAACAGGACTTTCACAAAGTTAAAGGCTCATTTTCTGTGCTACAGTTTTCCTGTTTCTTTTATCAGGCAAGGCTTTATGATAAGGACACAGATAACAGATTTGTGGGACAGCATCTATATACCAACATCACGGTGAGACTCTATTTTAAACATGCATTAATTAATTTAAATTTTATTGATATAAACTTAAGGCTTCTGCAGCAAAATCTATCAAAAGTGAGATAGAAGCTGTAACTATGAGATCAAAGTCCTTTTTTATATGCATCACATGTGCAACTCTACTTAAAAAGGGAAGGGTCTTCAGGCGCAGAATCAAAGCTATCTTGGTTTCAGTGACCCACTCCTGCAGATGGCAGCAAACTGTCAAAATGCTAAGACAGACATAGTGACATGATTCCAATAATTACATACTTACATCCTGACCACTGGATGCTAGTATGTACCTTGTGGTTTTTGCTCAGGATAAGCATAACACATTCTATGTACAGTATATAGGTGCTTATACCTGCATAGTCCAATCTCTATTTTTTGACTGTTTATTTTGCAGAGGAATGAACGTTGCTACTTAATGAAAAGAGTAACAGATACTGTGCTCACACATGTCCTCTATAACCTGAAGAACCAATATCCCAGTCTCCAAGAAGTAATATATTTTTTGGTGTATTTGAATGCGGAACTGCGTGACTGTGTAAGCATCATAAGAATTGTGTATTGGGCAGATACTCTCTCCTGTCAGAATCCAGACCATTTCATTTCAGATGATGGTGGGAGGACTATTTCAGCATATGTAAAGAAAATACCAGTCTTGAAAAAACTTCAAATGGTTTTTATTTGTTCTCTATCCCTTCTTCTCAAATTTCTTCATATCTTCCACTTCATATCTAATTTTCTTTCTTGGATGGTTTCAAACTGCAAATAGAGTTGGCCTCTGTTTATCTACAGTACATCTACATCTACATCTCAACTACATCTAATACCATAGCTCTGGTGCTGACAGCACTAACAGAGGAAACATCAAATCAAAACATCCAAGATTTCTGAAGTTCAACACAAACCACATTGTTATATCTTTTTCTTTCCTTTTCAGAAACCACTGGAAGATAAAACATACATTGAAGGACATTTGAAAAGAATGAAAGACAAATTAGAAGAGGTACATTAATTTAAGAATAGATTGATGAGAGCAATGGAGGTATGCTGCCTATTTTTGTCACTATGAAAGGTTGAATTAAATGTCTAGAATAGTTCTGACCAGCTTTCAGGGGATGTGGATATATTATTGGAGAAAAGGTAGACCATGTTAAATCAAGACAGTGCAAGACTGAAATTGGGTAAAGTTGACATGTAGCATCTTATAGTTGCATCCACATTATTTGTATTTCTTCCTTCATCCTCCATTTCTTCAGTTGTTTTCAACATCTCCTATTCTGATTTTCAGTTTTCATTTGAGTATGTTATTTTGCCAAACTTTGAATTGTTGCATATTTGCTTTTGCATATTTTCATTATGATGGCAAATAGTATCAGAGCAAAAAAGCAATAATCTTGGTGATGGCAGTGCAAGTTCTCTCTTTGCAATATATTGGGAAGGTTTTTCTTTTTACATGATGCAGGTAAACATGCACTACAGGTAACAGTCGGAGGAGCTATGATCTTCTTTCAACAGAGAATTAACTCTCCAATTTATGGATTAAAGAATCTTTCATGTTTTCACATCTATTAAGTCTGGTCAAAATCTATAGTAGCTATGGGATTGCATTATGACAGTTTGAAGTCCAAATATATTTAATATAGCATATGCTTTCTTAGTCTGACCATAGGATATCTTAAAATTGCAAATCTTTTTATAATTTTAATTACATTTTATTTGATGTCATGTATATGAGATAGCAGAATTATTTTAACTTTACCACTGAAGTTCACAAAGGTGGTCACAGATTCTGCAAGGCCAGGGTTACCCTGAACAGGCTTGATAATTGACCGTATCTCTTATGTCTTCCATCATATAGGATCACACTACTGATCCTATAGAACAAAAGACCTAACAAAACAAAAAACCCTACCTTCTATACATCAAAACAAACAAATAATATTTTGCCATACTAGATTAGATAGAGCCTTTTATAAAAATAATTCCAATCACCAAATAAATTCTAGGCAAAGCAATATATACTTGGATCTGCTGAAGACCATACTTTTGCTTTGATTTTTCAGTTGGGAGAGAATGGAATGAACAAAGTAGTTGGTGAACTTGATTTGCTGTTTGACTATCTGGAGAATGCATGCACTTCAAAGAAAGCAAGCAGCGGGCACCAGGGCAACAAGAACTGAGTGGACCATCAAAATTATGATATGTTTTTCATATACTGGAGAAAAAGCAATACATATTATAGGTCAATGTTAAGGTCAAGTTCCAGAAATCTTTGATCATCTGATACAAAAAAATTATAAATATGTTTGGATGCTGCAGTTTCTGAGATTTCTGATAGGTCCAATGCAACTAATGGCTCCCTTGGAGTTATAATTGAATAAGTATCAATTTGCCAAATTATAAAAGTGGAATTTTGGATAGCATCCTGATAAGTCATACAATTTTATTTATTTAAGTATCTGAATAATTTTTTTAGAATATTTTATCTACTAACAGTACTTATCTTCAAAGAATCACTATATATTTGCCATAGCATTTTAATGAGTATTACTACTGCATATAGCTAATAATTTATTGTTATATTTTGATATATTTGATATATTTTGATATAATTTATAATGTATTTATAGGAATATTCTAGGATATAGTTTGTAACTTTTAAGTATTATATTTTAAGCAATATAATATGATGTAATTGTGTAAGTTTAGTGACTGTTTTCTTATAGTAATGATGCATTTTGATATGATTTATTTATGTTATTAAAATAAGTATCATTTGAAACTATATGTTCACATATGTACATATTTTTAATACATGAATATTAGATTTGTTTAATATTTGAAAATTATCAATAAAAAGTCAACAGTATAATATATCCCGACTGACTACATTTTATGAGTTCTATATGACGTTAGGTTTTGGAATATTATCAGTGGGTGGCAGGGATAAAGGAGAAGAAAGAATTTCTTGTAATAGTCATTTCATTATTTTGTCCAGTCCCTCTCTTGGGATCACTCCACGTTGCAACCCTTCATTCCAAGTCTCATTTGGTGCTGGCAGTAAACCATGGGGGAGGTTATTACTGAGATGACATGCTTTTAAAAACTGATTGTACCTGATTGACTAATGACTGTGGGGATGGGAAGGAAATGCCAAATAGCTTTTTGCTTTCATTGAATAGGAATTGTGTTATTAACTAATAGCCAGCTCTATTGTTAATAATAATAATAAAGTTGGAACGGACCTTGGAGGTCATCAAGTCCAACCCCCTGCTCAGGGAGGTAATCCTATACCATTTTGGACAAATGGCTGTCCAGTTTCTTCTTAAAATCTTCCAGTGTTGGAGCATTCACCGCTTCTGGAGGCAGGTTGTTCCACTGATTAATTGTTCTGTCAGGAAGTTTCTCCTTAGTTCTAGGTTGCTTCTCTCTTTGGTTAGTTTCCATCCATTGCTTCTTGTCCTGCCTTCAGGCGCTTTGGAAAATAGCTTGACTCCCTCTTCTCTGTGGCAGCCCCTGAGACATAACAGTAGTCTTCTCTAATCTTCTTTGACCAAAGAATTCTACTTTGGGGCAGCTATTGAAACAGGGGGGATAAACTAAGAGCACTGTCTAGACCACTTTGTTTTCTTTGTTCCAGTCTTTTCATTCTTCACATGCAGCAAAAAAGTCGTAAAATTGGGCACGACTCACTTAAAAACCACCTTGCTTAGCGATGGAAATTCTGGTCATAAGTTGATGACTATTGAGGGTGGGTGGGAGAGACATTTTGCATATTCTAACAATCTAAGCAATTCTAAATAGCTTAATGTAATCTGAAGGACACAGCTTGTGATAGTTAGTCGTGTAGTTTTCCAGTAATTCTGAAGTTATTTTGCTGCTTTTTCCTCCAAATAATTCAGTCTAAAGAATATGGATTAGAAATGGCTCTCAGCAGTAGATGCAGATTTTCAGCTCTTCAGCTGGATTGAAACAAATAATTGAAACAAACAAATAAAACAAATAACCTGGCAAATACTTCTGCACAGCTAAACATTCCTTGCCTGACATGTAGTCTTGTGTCATGAAATGTGTCCCATATATGTTTCCATGATCATCATGAGAGTCAGAATTTTTTACTATTTATGTAATCAATTAAATGATAGCAATGTAAATCTCATTTATGGGAGTGCTAATCTTAAACACATGAGTTCATGTAGTAATATTTAATCTCCTTCCACTTATCAATCAAAAGATTTTCTTTCTAAAAAAAATGTTAGCTCTCCACAACTGTTGCTGTGAAGAGTATTGAAAAAGAAAAAAATATTCCAAAAGCTTAATTTGTTGACTTTGTTCTATTTTTTTTATAAATGTTTTATTAATTTTCTATTTTCACATACAAGTGCTCAATAGACAACATGATGACTGAGTTCATTAGTAATTCTGTGGTACGTATAAGCTTCTTTATATTACACTATTACACTCACCAGTACATCCTCTCTTTTTCTGGCAATAACCATTTTTCCGTATCAAGCAAATACAATTCTTATTATTGTTAGGAAACATACAATTGCATATCAATATTTATTACATTTTTACAATAATATCAGTTTAAAATATATTTTCTAACCAAAGCATATCTTATTAAAAGTTTTAAAGATTTTACACATTATATACCCCAAATCTCTCCCCCCCCCTACTTCTCAAAGCTGATTTACAGGGTTAAAAATAAACAATCATAATCTAACGAACATTACCCAACTATATTAACAATCAAATCCATAAGATACTTTAACTCCTTTTCAAAATAAATATTAACAAATTAAAAACAAAAATAATAATACAATTATTAAACTATTAATAGTAATCTAAACTCTACTCATAAGCTAAATAATACTTTTCAGTCTCATATTTATTCTGGATATAATCAATCCATCTTCTCCAAACCGAAATATATTTTTCTTGTGAATAGTCCTTCAAATAAGCAGAGATTTTTGCCATTTCTGTTAAATTAGACACCTTAAGTATCCATTCTTCGATAGTAGGCAAAGAATTTTTCTTCCAATATTGCCCCACCAATAATCTTGCAGCTGTTATAAGATTCAACATCAAATTAATTTCTTTAACATCAAAATCTACAATAATACCTAACAAAAATAATTGCGGCGTAAACTTTATCTTTCTCTTAAAAATCTTTTGAATATTCCACCAAATCTTAATCCAAAAAGCTTTTATATCTCTACAGGTCCACCAAATATGAAAATAGGTTGCATCTAAGCTTCCACATCTCCAACATTTAGGCTGTAAATTAGGATACATACAAGACAGCTTTTGAGGATCCAAATGCCACCTACAGAACATTTTGTAAAAATTTTCTCTTAAATTTTGAGCTTGAGTAAATTTTACATTTCTAACCCAAATTATCTCCCATGTGTCCAATAAGATCGGCTCATGAATATTTTGAGCCCATTTTACCTTACAATCTTTAACTAACTCCATTTCAGAATCCAATTCTATTAAAACATTATAAATTCTCTTTATATGGGCTCGAGTTTGATCTTTAATCTGTTTAACCAAATTCGCATCCTCTACAGTAATACCAACCTTTTGATCTATATTCCATCTAACTAACAATTGATTATACTGAAACCAAGTGTGTACAATATTTTCTTGCTTCAACTCAACTAAAGATTTTAACTGCCAATCCTGCCCTACCAAGCCATATAATTCCTTATAAGAAAGCCTATCCAGATTCACTCCCCTAGATACCCTCTCTACCGCGTGTCCAGGAATTCCCCAAATTGGAATTTTATAATTTAACCTATAATAATACTTCTTCCAGACACATAGTAAAGCATTTCTTAATATATGAGATTTAAAAACCTGATCTACTTTATTATAGACCTATATCTCTTTTGAATACAGATTACAAGATTTTCTCAAAAATATTGGCAAATAGATTAATGCAAGTTTTGAAGCAATTGATCTATAGTGATCAATCTGGATTTATAACTGGAAGATATGAAAAATAATGTAAGACAAATTGTCAATCTAATTGAGTATTTGGTAAGAATAATCAAATCCCTGCGGCTTTGATATTTTTGGATGCTGAAAAAGCTTTTGATCAACTAGATTGGCAATTTTTATTGAGAGTTGTAGAGAAAATGAATTTTGGGGATAGATTTTTGTATGCTCTTAAGGCTATTTATCAACAATAATTGGCACAAATTATAATTAATGGGGGGTTAACAGAAGTATTTAAAATTGAAAAGGGTACAAGACAGGGATGTCCATTATCCCCATTGTTATTTGTTTTAAAAATGGAGATTTTACTTATTAAAATTCGTGAATTTTTTAATAAAGGGAATAAAAATAAATAAGAATGATTATAGGTTGAGAGCTTTTGTTGATGATCTGGTTGTGACATTATCTCAACCGACAGATTCAGTAAGGGATATGTTAGTTGAATTAATTTGAAGGATATGTTAGTTGAATTAACAAGTTTTGAAATAGTGAGAAAGGTTAAATATTTGGGAGTATATATTACAGCCTCTAATGTTAAATTGTACAAAAATAATTATGAGACATTATGGGTGAAAGTGCAAAAGGATTTAAATGATTGGAAAAAAATACAGTTATCTTTGCTGGGAGAATCTCAGCAATTAAAATGAATATTCTTCCAAAGTTTCTTTTTTTGTTTCAAATGATACCTATTTTGAAAAAAGATGCTAACTTGGAGGAATGGCAGAAGGGGATTAATAAGTTTATTTGGGCAGGGAAAAAACCAAGAGTTAAGTTTAAGATTATACAAGATGCACGGGAAAGAGGAGGACTTAAGGTGCCTAATTTAAAATTGTATTATGATGCGGTGGCTTTAACATCGATTAGTGATTGGCTTAACTTGACTAATAAAAATATAATTCTTCTTGAGGGATGGGATTTATTATATGGATGGCATGCATATTTAACCAAAGCATATTAATTGCATTTGCACTCAATTTCCACTTATTTATTTATTATTTATTTATTTGCAGTACTGCAGGCCACTTTAGCTGACTGTGTTCAGCAGGTCAGCGGTTCAAATCTCACTGGCTCAAGGTTGACTCAGCCTTCCATCCTTCCGA